TATTATGATAATATGCTAATTTTGATAAAATCATCATAATGAGCATCATGGTTGCTATAGCAACCATCATTTATTATGATTAATAGGCTAATTATGATCAAAATCATCATAATGAGCATCATGGTTGCCATTGCAACCATCACTTATTATGATTAATATGTTAATTATGATCAAGATCGTCATAATGATCATCATAGTTGCCATGCCAACCATCATTTATTATGATTAAATGCTAATTATGATCAAAATCATAACAATGAGCATTATGATTGCCATGGCAACCATCACTTATTATGATTAATATGCTAATTATGATCAAGATCATCATAATGATCATTATGGTTGCTATGGTAACCATCATTTATTATGATTAATATGCTAATTATGATCAAAATCATCATAATGGGCATCATGGTTGACATGGCAACCATCATTTATTATGATAATACGCTAATTATGATCAAGATCATAATAATGGTCATCATAGTTGCAATGGTAACCATCATTTATTATGATGAATATGCTAATTATGATCAAAATCATCATAGTGATCATCATGGTTGCCATAGGAACCATAATTTTTTATGATTAATATGCTAATTATGATCAAAATAATCATAATGAGCATCATGGTTGCCATGAAAACCATCATTTATTATGATTAATATAGTAAATATGATCAAGATCATCATAATGATCATCATAGTTGCCATGGCAGCTATCATTTATTATGATCAATATGCTAATTTGATAAAAATCATCATAATGATCATCAAGGTTTCAATATCAACCATAATTTATTATGGTTAATACGCTAATTATGATCAAAATCATCATAATGAGCATCATGGTTGTCATGGTAACCATTATTTTTTATGATTAATATGCTAATTATGATCAAGATCATCATAATGATCATCATAGTTGCCATGCCAACCATCATTATTATGATTAATATGCTAATAATGATCAAGATCATCATAATGATCATTATGGTTGCCATTACAACCATCATTTATAATGACTAATATGCTAATTATGGTTAAGATAATTATCATGATCATCGTAGTTGCCATAGCAACCATCATTTATTATGTTTAATATGCTAATTGTGATCAAAATCATCATAATGATGATCATAGTTGCCATGGCAACCATCATTTATTATGATTGATATGCTAATTACGGTCAAAATCATCATAATGATCATCATGGTTGCCATTTATTATGATTAATATGCTAATTATGACCAAAATCATCACAATGAGCATCATGGTTGCCATGACAACCATCATTTATTATGACTAATATGCTAATTATGATCAAGATCATCATAATGATCATCATAGTTGCCATTGCAGCCATCATTTATTATGATTAATATGCTAATTTTGATAAAAAAATCATCATAATGATCATCATAGTTGCAATGCCAACCATCATTTATTAAGATTAATATGCTAATTATGATCAAAATTATAACAATGAGCATCATGGTTCCCATAGCAACCATCATTTATTATGATTAATATGCTAATTATGATCAAGATCATCATAATGATAATTTTGGTTGCCATGGCAACCATCATTTATTATGACTAATATGCTAATTATGGTCAAGATAATCATCATGATCATCATAGTTGCCATGGCAACCATCATTTATTATGAATAATATGCTAATTATGATCAAAATCATCATAATGATGATCATAGTTGCCATAGCAACCATCATTTATTATGATTAATAGGCTAATTATGATAAAAACCATCATAATGAGACAATCATGGTTACGAATGGCAACCAACATTTATTATGAAATATTTAATATGATCAAGATCATCATAATGATCATCATAGTTGCCATTACAACTATCATTTATTATGATTAAAATGCTAATTATGATCAAAATCATCATAATGATCATCATGGTTGCAATAACAAACAATATTTATTATGACTAATATGCTATTTATGATAAAATCATCATAATGATTCAAATAGTTGCCATGACAGCCATCATTTATAATGACTAATATGCTAATTGGTTAAGATAATTATCATGATCATCGTAGTTGCCATAGCAACCATCATTTATTATGTTTAATATGCTAATTGTGATCAAAATCATCATAATGATGATCATAGTTGCCATGGCAACCATCATTTATTATGATTGATATGCTAATTACGGTCAAAATCATCATAATGATCATCATGGTTGCCATTTATTATGATTAATATGCTAATTATGACCAAAATCATCACAATGAGCATCATGGTTGCCATGACAACCATCATTTATTATGACTAATATGCTAATTATGATCAAGATCATCATAATGATCATCATAGTTGCCATTGCAGCCATCATTTATTATGATTAATATGCTAATTTTGATAAAAAATCATCATAATGATCATCATAGTTGCAATGCCAACCATCATTTATTAAGATTAATATGCTAATTATGATCAAAATTATAACAATGAGCATCATGGTTCCCATAGCAACCATCATTTATTATGATTAATATGCTAATTATGATCAAGATCATCATAATGATAATTTTGGTTGCCATGGCAACCATCATTTATTATGACTAATATGCTAATTATGGTCAAGATAATCATCATGATCATCATAGTTGCCATGGCAACCATCATTTATTATGAATAATATGCTAATTATGATCAAAATCATCATAATGATGATCATAGTTGCCATAGCAACCATCATTTATTATGATTAATAGGCTAATTATGATAAAAACCATCATAATGAGCATCATGGTTACGATGGCAACCAACATTTATTATGATTAATAGTTAATTATGATCAAGATCATCATAATGATCATCATAGTTGCCATTACAACTATCATTTATTATGATTAAAATGCTAATTATGATCAAAATCATCATAATGATCATCATGGTTGCAATAACAAACAATATTTATTATGACTAATATGCTATTTATGATAAAAATCATCATAATGATTCAAATAGTTGCCATGACAGCCATCATTTATTATGATTAATATGCTAATTTTGATAAAATCATCATAATGATCATCATGGTTGCCATTGCAACCATCATTTATTATGATTAATAGGCTAATTATGATCAAAATCATCATAATGAGCATCATGGTTGCTACAACAACCATCATTTATTATGATTAATATGTTAATTATGATCAAGATCATCATAATGATCATCATGGTTGCCATGGTAACCATCATTTATTATGATTAATATGGTAATTATGACCAAAATCATCATAATAAGCATTATGGTTGCCATGGCAACCATCATTTATTATGACTAATATGCTAATTATGATCAAGATCATCATCATGATCATCATAGTTGCCATAGCAACCATCATTTTTTATGATTAATAGCTAATTATGATCAAAATCATCATAATGATCATCATAGTTGCCATAGCAACCATCATTTATTATGATTAATAGGCTAATTATGATAAAACCATAATAATGATCATCATGGTTGCAATGGCAACCATAATTTATCATGACTAATATGCTATTTATGATAAATCATCATAATGATTCAAATAGTTGCCATGACAGCCATCATTTATTATGATTAATATGCTAATTTTGATAAAAATCATAATGATCATCATGGTTGCCATTGCAACCATCATTTATTATGATTAATAGGCTAATTATGATCAAAATCATCATAATGAGCATCACGGTTGCTACAACAACCATCATTTATTATGATTAATACGTTAATTATGATCAAGATCATCATAATGATCATCATGGTTGCCATGGTAACCATCATTTATTATGATTAATATGGTAATTATGATAAAAACCATAATAATGAGCATCATGGTTGCCATAGCAACGATCATTTATTATGATTAATATGCTAATTATGATCAAGATCATTATAATTATCATCATAGTTGCCAAGGCAACCATCATTTATTATGACTAATATGGTAATTATGATCAAGATCATCATAACGATAATCATAGGTGCTATAGGAGCCATCATTTATTATGATTAATATGCTAATTTTGATAAAAATCATCATAATGATCATCATGGTTTAAATATCAACCATAATTTACTATGATTAATAGGCTAAATATGATCAAAATCATCATGAGCATCACGGTTGCCATGGCAAGCATCATTTATTAGGATTAAAATTTTATATATGATCAAGATCATCATAATGATCATCATGGTTGCGATGGGAGCCATAATTTATTATGATTAATATGCTAATTATGATCAAGATCATCATAATGATCAACATGGTTGCAAGAGCAACCAATATTTATTATGATTATTATGCTAATTAAGATCCTATCATCATCATGATCGTCATGGCTGTCATAGTAACCATCATTTATTTTGATTAATATCTAATTATGATCAAGATGATGATAGTGATCATCATGGTTGCCATGGCAACCATCATTTATTAATATTATGCTAATTATGATCATGATCATCATAATGATCATCATAGTTGCAATGGCAACCATAATTTATTATGATTAATATGCTAATTATGATCAAAATCATCATAATGATGATCATGGTGTCCATGGCAACCATCATTTATTATGATTAATATGCTAATTATGATCAAGATAATCATAAAGAGCATTGTGGTTGCTATGGCTGTGGCGGCCGATGCTTGTTCACCGTAATGCGCCATGAATGTTTAAAAATAAATCTTGACGATACACTTGTTTGACTTCGCTTTATTAAGTTCTCGTAAGATTCTTTGGCACTTTAATTATTTGCTTAACTTACTTCGCTTTACTTAAGTTCCCTTACGAGTATGTTACAGAGTCTGTCTTAAGATTATTGGTTGTCTCTTTTATATGCTTTACAGTAGGCGTTATGAATATATTAGGCACTCAACACGATAATTTGCATTAATGCACACGCAGTTACACTCCCCCCACAGAAATCCTTTGATTTCTTCTAAGTTAGTCATTGGCTACCAAAAGCACAAGTTTATGAATTGGTCTCTTTAACATTGAAGGGACTCTAAGCCTTTTTCCTTTATCATCCAAGCTTGTATCACCAACAACAAGTTCAACACTTCTGACCAAACCAGTTTCATCAGGATAAGTAGTGATAATCTTTCCGAGCTTCCAATTATTACGAATCTCACTTTCTTCTGTCAGTAGGACTATGTCTCCAATCTTAAGATTTCTGCGAGGCTTGTTCCACTTTGTTCTTTTTTGTAATGAATGAAGAAACTCCTTTCTCCATCTTGCCCAAAATTCGTTCATAAAATGCTGAATTCTTCTCCATCTCTTCTTTGAATATAATTCTTTGTTCTGGAAAACTCCTGGCGGTGGTAAAACAACTTGCGTCTTCATAGTCAGTAGGTGGTTCGGCGTAAGGGGAGAAAGGGAATCAGGATCGTTCAAAGTGTTGACAGTTAAAGGTCTGGAGTTCACAACACATTCAACTTCACATATCAGTGTGCGAAAAGATTCATCATCTAAGCAAGTGCTGTTCCTTCGCATTAGGGCATTTAGGACATTCCTGACAGTTCTAATTTGGCGCTCCCAAACCCCACCAAAATGACTTGCCTTTGGAACATTCATTCTAAATTCGACCCAATCACAATTTGACTTCAACAGTTCAGCACCGATTTTCTTATCATCCATCACCTTTAACGCTTCTTGTAGTTCTCGTTGGGCACCAATAAAATTTGAGCCTCGGTCACTTCTTAGTTGACGAACGGGACCTCGTCTACATATGAAACGTCTTAATGCTTGAATAAATGAGTCTGTGTCCATCGTATTCGAGACTTCAAGGTGTACTGCTCGAGAAGCCATACATGTGAACAATGCGACGTATCTTTTCAGCTCTTTACGACGATCTTTAATATACCAAGGTCCACAATAGTCAACAGCGGCATATGTGAATGGTGCAGCTTGTTCAAATCTATCTGTTGGTAGGTCAGCCATCAATTGCTCTTGAGCAGCTCCTCTTAATTTTCGACATGTCACACATTTACTTATCATGTAGGCCACTGCAGATGATCCTCCAATGATCCAGATACCATTGCTTCGTATCTCATTCAACGTTAGACCACGTCCTTGATGAGCAACTCTTTCATGATAATAGCGAATTACCAATTCCGTCACGTGAGTTTTTCGAGGTAGAATGATTGGAAATTTGACGTTGTTGGGAATATCAGCATGCTTGATCCGACCTCCAACTCGCAAAACACCATGAGAATCACAAAATGGATTAAGACGATACAACTGACTTGTCTTTTTCACGGAATGTTTAGATGGCATCTCAAACCTTTCATCCCTTTCTTTCCTGATCGTCAACGTCTTGATATCTTCTTGAAAATGCATCATTTGAACTGACTTGTAGATTTCTATGTCCGCCTTGCGTAGGGTTTCAACTGTAAGCTTTGGTTGACAATTATCAGATATAGTTTCTTTGCTCGTTGATTGGCCTGACTTGGCTTTCTTCAACAGCTTTTCCCTGTAGGTAAGACAAACTGCGACGGCTGATCTTGCACGTTGCCAACTCGAGAAAACTTCAATTGCCTGTGCAAGGCACCACGTTCTATTGACATTTAGGGAGAAACAAGATTGTTTAACTTCAGGATCTTCTAATGAAATGTCTTCAACCGTTGTATGTTCAAGCCACTGATCCTCAGGTTGCCACAGAAACTTGGGTCCTGTAATCCATCTTGGGTTCTTCAATAATTGCGAGGCTGTCATTCCTCTGGATCCGTCATCTGCTGGGTTAGAACTTGACTCTACATATTTCCACTGTCCTTTAGTAGTCTTACTACGGATTTGTGAAATGCGATTAGCGACAAATACGTGGAATCTTTTGGAGTCATTACCAATGTAGCCAAGAGCTATTTGACTATCCGTCCAAAACGTTTCGCTTTGTATATCATATTCAAGCTCATTCTTCATCGTTTCGTTGACCTTTACAGAAACCAATGCAGCTGTTAATTCCAAACGAGGTATGGATATGCTCTTTAGTGGGCAGACTCTTGCCTTTCCCATAACTAGCGAACAATGAATTTTCCCTTCGGCGTTCTGAAGGCGAATATACGAACATTGACCATAACCAACGTTGCTTGCATCAGAAAAGTTGTGGAGTTCGGCAGACTTAACTTCTCCAAAATCAATCGGCTTAAAACATCTAGGAATTGATAATTCTTTAAGGCAGGACAGCTCGTTTCTCCACTTTATCCATTTTATCTTTAAATCTTCTGGAATATCGTCGTCCCAATCAATTTGATCACGACAGAGATCTTGAAGTATTCTTTTTCCAAGAAGAATTATCGGTGCCACGAATCCCAGTGGGTCGTAAACTGAACAGACAGTCGCCAAGATTCCTCTTCTTGTTAACGGACGATCTTGTAAAATAATTCTGAATTCAAAGTTGTCAGTTTCTATGCACCATTGCACGCCCAGTGTTCTTTCAATTGGTAATACAGCTAAGTCAAGATTCTTCACTGCATCCGCACGGTCTGACTCGGGAATTTGCTGAAGAATTTCTCTTTTGTTACTGATGAATTTGCACAGATTGAACCCACCTCGACTGCACATCTCTTTGGCTTGCTTCACCAGGTTAACTGCTTCGGACACGGAGGCGACTGACTTCAGCCCGTCATCGACGTAGAAGTTTCTTCTCAAGAATTCCGCTGCATCCTTTCCAATTTCTTGTTCATTGTCGTCAGCAGTTCGTTTAAGGGCATAGTTCGAGCATCCTGGAGACGAGGCTGCCCCAAACAGATGCACTGTCATCCGATACGTTTGAGGTTCTTGATTTGTGTCTGGGTTGTCTCCAGGCCACCAAAGAAAACGGAGGAAATCGCGATACTCTTTCGAGACCTTTACTTGATAAAACATAGCTTCTATATCAGTTGTGAAAGCAACACTTTCTTGGCGAAATCTTGTTAATACTCCAATCAGTTTATTCGTTAAATCTGGACCTTGGAGTAGATACTGGTTGAGCGATTCTCCTTTGTATTGAGAGGAACAGTCAAATACAACTCGTATCTTCTTAGGTTTCTTGGGATGGTAAACCCCGTGGTGTGGGATGTACCAACATTTTCCTGGTTCTGTTGTTTCTTCATTCGATGGAACTTGCTCTGCATATCCTTTCTTTATCATTTCTTTCATGAATGTGACGTAATCTTCTTTGTACGTAGTATCATTCTTGAATCTTGACTTCAATTGTTGTAGGCGAAACACAGCTAAATTTCGGTTGTTTGGTAATTTGATATCATCATTCTTGAACGGCAGTGGGATCTCATAATGTCCATCTTCTCTAAGGTGGATTCCATCAGAAACCTTTCGCAGGAAATTCTGGTCATCAATTGAGGAATACGTTGGCGAAATGTTAATATTCTCGTTGAAATCGAGTTCGAACATCTTGTTGATCGTTGATGGGTCGATAATTTCTTTTACACGATTTTCTGGAGCGAAAACAATGTTTAGTTGTTTCTCTGAGGCAATCTCCCTGGTCACAATGCGATTACATGACATTTGATAACTTTCAAAGTCTAAGTCGTTTTCATTCAACTTCGAAACAGGACCGATAAACCCCCAACCAAGAAGAGTTTTAATTGCATAAGGATCGTTCTCGTTTCCTGGTATGACTTCCTGTGGCTTGATCGCCTTTGGACAATTTGATCCAATCAGTAGACCAATGTCCACGTTTTCTTGATAACGTGGTAATTGTGTTGTTAGCCTTTCTAAATGCTGCCATCTTTCAGCCATTTCAGGTCGAGGTATCTCGTCTCTTTTTGATGGAATATCATCTCTACAGTAAACGGATTTCGGTAACTCGATTTGGGTGGTTTTTCCTAGGTCTTCTATGATAAGCCCAGCTATCTTCTTTGTTGCTATCATTTCCGTTCCATGCATTGTGTTTAAGTTTAGATGAACATCTATACCATTAAGTCCGAGTTTCTTTGAAGTATCACTTTTAATGAATGTCCCATTACTAGCAGGATCTAATAAAGCGTATACCATTATTTGATGATGGGGATCTTTCTTGTGATGCAACCAAACTGGTACAATCATTGAACTGATTCTGCTTTCGTTGTTATCTTGATTGGATTTCACAGCATTTCGTACGCTTACACAGTTGTTAATTGTAGAACCAGTGGATTTGGGGTCCTTATTGGGCAATTCTGAGGAAGTTTGCGTTGAGCACTCTTTCTTGTTGCCACTCTTCGTTGCATCATGTAACAATGTAGGATGTTTTAGTTGGCAAACATCACACTTCTTTCTAGTGAGACATCTTCTAGACACATGACCAACACGAAGGCATCCGAAACACAATTCTTTCTTCCGAATGAAATCCATTCTTTCACTTAACTTCATTTCTTGAAACTTCTGACAATTCTCCAAAACATGATTCTTTGCACACAAAGTACACTTGTGCACATCAGGTGGACTTCTTTCTTTGTCAGTAAGCGATAGGGGATTGACGATGGTTGAAAAATTACTGGACTGTTCATTCCTTTTCCATTTACGAATGTCTTGCTCTTTACCTTCGTTCTTCCTATCACCTCTCTTTTCTTCTTTAATGGCATAAGGAGAAAACACAGGATTTGTAGCAAAAGTTGCTTCGTCTTTCACAAATTCTACGAAATCGTGGAATTTGACTGCGTCTTTTTCAGTTAAGATTTCATTCGCTCGACGGCACCATCTTGCAATTGCGAAATTTGGTAATTTTGAGCAAATCTTCTTTATGACATCTTCGCTATTTAACACTTCCATGTGTTTAAGTGTCTTCATAGCTTCTTCCGCTTGTACAAGAAAATCTGAAAATTTCAATAGACCAACACCATCTCCTGAGTCCTTTATGGTAGCCCAATTCAATAACCTTTCTTTGTAGGCATAAGCAACGCGATATGGATGACCAAATCTTTCTTTCAGAACAGTTCGTGCTTTCGTGTAGGCTTCTGGAGAGTTCAATGTGACTAAGCCTTTGATAACTTCTCTTGCTTCCCCACTTGTGAACTGATTCAAATAATAAAGTCTTTGCTTCGGATCCTCGACTTTGCTTTCAATGAGGGATTCGAAGGAATTAATGAAATAAGGATAATCAAAATAATTACCAGAAAACATTGGTGGTTGTTGTTTAGGTAAGGAATTCAATACTTGTTGCTTAGCCAATTCAACTAATAAAGGTCCAACACTATCAGGTTGATCTGGTTTCACATCATTAGATTGTGATTCATAAACATTTGTTTCTTTCTCAGGAATGACTTGACGTTCTTCGCCCTTTAAGACTGGAGGAACAGTATATGTAGAAACGAATTCTTGAGCGTTTGCATTCAATTCGAACGTCGCTGGAACATGCCGAGGAATTGCTTCATCAGGCATGGCTGACTGAAGAATATTTTCATTAGGCATAGCTAGCCACGAGTAGTCAGAAACATCAGGAATATCTTCGTCGTCCGATGTAGCTTCATCACCAATCAAATCTTGCTTATGAGTATGCACTCTTGTTCCCAGTACCTCGAATCTACGCTGTTCTTGTGGGGGATGGGTTTTTTGGGTTGTTATGCTTTTTCCTTGCCCACGATATTGATCGAAAGCTTGCATTTCATTAGTGCGAGATATGTCCCGTTTTTCACATTCTTCTTCAAATTTCTTAAGAGCTTCTTCTTCTGCTTTGGCTTTAGCGATTTCCTTTAATGTTTTTTGTTTTTTATATTCTGCTTCTTTATCAATAAAGTCCATTTCAACTAGCAATGAAGCTGCTTTCGCGGCGGCTTTTGCTCTTCTTGATCGAACTGATGATGTTGATTTTCCCGACAAACGCGATAACGTGCTTGACTGTGAACTTCTCTGTGTACTTCTCTCTTCTACGGCCTTTATTCTTTCGTTAACTCGTGTTCGAGATAGAAAATGTTCGCGATCACGTATATCTAGCCATCGGTACGCTTCGGTGATTTCTTGCAACGATTCTAGATTTGAATAGTAATTATCGTGTGCTTCGTTTAACCTTTCTCGCAATTTATCTAGTTCGTCTCGTTGTCTTTCTAGAATCGAAACATCGACTGTATCGAAAGGCTGATCGAGCAAACGATTTACGTAAGTGATTTTTCTTCGAAGGTTTGCTCCAGCCAACGTTCTTAGTTGCAGTAAATCCTTTAAATCAGTCACACGTCTAGGGTCCAAAGTTCTACTTCGTCTTTGACGTCTTTCATCAACGATTTCACTCTGCGCTCTATCTTCATCTTGATCCTTTACTTCAGCGCTGAAAGTCTTCAATCTTGTTATTGCTGGCATCGAATTTGATCTTTCCATAGTTGATCTCAATCAGCTCTGGTTTCGTCTTTGTATGTAGAGAATCTTACTGTGGCGGCCGATGCTTGTTCACCGTAATGCGCCATGAATGTTTAAAAATAAATCTTGACGATACACTTGTTTGACTTCGCTTTATTAAGTTCTCGTAAGATTCTTTGGCACTTTAATTATTTGCTTAACTTACTTCGCTTTACTTAAGTTCCCTTACGAGTATGTTACAGAGTCTGTCCTAAGATTATTGGTTGTCTCTTTTATATGCTTTACAGTAGGCGTTATGAATATATTAGGCACTCAACACGATAATTTGCATTAATGCACACGCAGTTACAATGGCAACCATCATTTATTGCGATTAATATGCTAATTATGACCAAGATCATCATAATGATCATCATAGTTGCCATGGTAACCATCATTTATTATTATTAATATGCTAAATATGATCAAAATCATCGTAATGATCATCATATTTGCCATAGCAACAATCATTTATTATGATTAATATGCTAATTATGATCAAGATCATCATAATGATCATCATAGTTGCCATGGCAACCATCATTTATTATGATTAATATGTTAATTATGATCAATGTCATCATCATAATGATCATCAAAGTTGCCATGGCAACCATCATTTATAATGATTAATATGCTAATTATGATTAAAATCATCATAATGAGCATCATGGTTGCCATGGCAACAATCATTTATTATGATTAATATGCTAATTATGATCAAGATCATCATAATGATCATCATGATTGCCATTGCAACCATCAGTTTTTATGAATAATATGCTAATTATTATCAAAATCATGATAATGAGCATCATGGTTGCCATGGCAACTATCATTTATTATGATTACTATGCTAATTATGATTAAGATCATCATAATGATTATCATAGTTCCCATTGCAACCATCATTTATTGTGATTAATATGCTAATTATGATCAAAATCATCATAATGAGCATCATGATTGCCATGGCAACCATCATTTATTATGATTAATATGCTAATTATGATCAGAATCATCATAATGAGCATCATGGTTGGAAGAGCAACCATTACTTATTATGATTAATATGCTAATTATGATCAAGATCATCATAATGATCATCATAGTTGCCATAGCAACTATCATTTTTTATGAATAATATGATAATTATGGTCAAAATCATCATAATGATCATCATGGTTGCGATGCCAACCATAATTTATTATGATTATTATGCTAATTATGATCAAGATCATCATAAGGATCATCATAACTGCCATGGTAACCATAATTTATTATGATTAATATGCTAAATATGGTCAAAATCATCATAATGATCATTATGGTTGCCATAGCAACCATCATTTATTGTGATTAATATGCTAATTATGATCAAAATCATCAAAATGAGCATCATGGTTGCAAGAGCAACCATTATTTATTATGATTATTATGCTAATTATGATCAAGATCATCATAATGATCATCATAGTTGCCATGGCAACCATTATATATTGTGATTAATATGGTAATTATGATCAAGATCATCATGATGATCATCTTGGTTGCCATAGCAACCAATATTTATAATGAATAATTCGCTAATTATGATCAAGATCATCATAATGATCCTCATAGTTGCCATGGCAACCATCATATATTGTGATTAATATGGTAATTATGATCAAGATCATCATAATGATCATCTTGGTTGCCATAGCAACCAATATTTATTATGATTAATATGCTAATTATGATCAAGATCATCATAATGATCATCATACTTGCCATGGCAACCATCCTATATTGTGATTAATATGGTAATTATGATCAAGATCATCATAATGAAAATTATAGTTGCTACGGTAACCATCATTTATTATGATTGATATGTTAATTTTGATCATTGTCATTAAAACCATGATAATGGTTACCATGGTAACTATCATTTATCATGAATAATATGCTAAATATGATCAAGGTCATCATATTGAAAATTCTAGTTGCTATGGTAACCATCATTTATAATGATTGATATGTTAATTTTGATCATTATCATCAAAATTATGATAATGGTTACCATGGTAACCATCATTTATCATGAAAAATATGCTAAATATGATAAAGATCATCATATATATATATAATCATCATAGCAACTATAATTTTCATTATGATGATCTTGATCATATTTAGCATATTATTCATGAAAAAAATGATGGTTACCATGGCAACCATTATAATAATTTTGATGATAATGATCAAATTTAACATATCAATCATAATAAATGATGGTTACCATAGCAACTATAATTTTCATTATGATGATCTTGATCATATTTAGCATATTATTCATGATAAATGATGGTTACCATGGTAACCATTATCATAATTTTGATGATAATGATCAAAATTAACATATCAATCATAATAAATGATGGTTACTATAGCAACTATTGTTCAGAAGAACGTTAGGATTTAAATATTAGGAAAAACAATTTATATTACAATTATTTAAACGAGCATAGGGAACATTTAAGGAAATTAGCTTTGTTCTAGTAGGTTTTTAATTAGGATTTAAATGCGCATATACGATTAGGCAACACCTTAAAAAACAAAAAAACAACATAAAAATTAGTTAGAACCGTTCGATAGTTGTTTAGCTAAGTGTAAGATGTGGATATTTTTGTTAGTGAAATAAATCGTTGAAATGGAGTGTTGATGCGAAATCTCTTGAACATTTTGGTAGCAGGAAATGGTTGAGAATACAGGAGAAGCCGTTAAACGTATGGAAGAATCTTTGTTAACAGCAGAGATCGAACAGCTAAAGAAGCATAAGCGAGTTGCAAAAGCGCAGATGTCGAAGCTGTATACGAAACTTTTGCGATTGATGGCTAACGAGAAGAGTGTAGCAGAAGAGTTGCTGCAAGAGGTCGATACCTATGAAGCGAAACAGCAGGAAACGTGGGATATTATCGAAGAATTGATTACAGTGTATAGGACATCGGGTGACGAAAGAAACGCTGTGAAGGCCGAAGACGAGCTGGAAAATATAATGAGAGATACAAATCGGGACGCGACGACAGTTAAGTCCTATGCAACCGCGATGGTGAGTAAACAATACAGTCCCGGCGCGGTTGGTGATGAACCGTTCAAAAAAGTTAGTTAGAATACCGTTGACCATGTGCCTACGTCGAAAGCCGACGTTGAGCGAAATCTTGAACGTTTGCAAGTACCGAAGTTCGACGGCGACAAATTGAAGTTTGCAAGTTTTTGGGCAGCATTTTCAGCAATCGTGGATGAAACAAGTGCACTACCAAGATACAAAACGTTGAGACTGAAAGCGTGAAGGGAATGCGGCAGAGGCAATTGCCAAGCTGGGTTATTCAGACGAAGCTTACGAAGAGGCAAAGAGAACTTTGGTACGTAAGTTTAGTGGCGATCGTCGACAAATACAAGCGCATTTGGAGAATCTTCGAGCCACCAAGTCGTTTCAAGATGATGACGTTCTAGAAATTGAAAGGTTTTCGGATAGTCTGGTGCATTCGATTGTTACGTTGAAGGAGCAAAAACAATGGAAAGAATTAAGACCGAACAGTACGCTGTACTTGTTGTTAATCGAGAAGGTTCCAAGGTCGATGCTGTCCAGATTTTTCCGTTGGTTATATGAGAAAGTTAAAGAGGAGACTTTAGAATCCTTGAGTGACTGGTTGGTTGAAGAAACAGAGTTCTTGATTCACGCAATGGAGACCAAAGAAGGCATGTCGGTAAAGAAAACATCTCGAGATAAACGACCGCATCGTAATTTCGCTACTGTGACAGATGGTCGACAGCGAAATTGTGCTTGCTGTAACAAAATTGGTCATGGAGTATGGAGCTGCGCAAAGGCTAAAGACGGAAGCGTGGCGCAACGTTGGGCTTTAGCAAAAGAAAAGCAGTTGTGTTATCGATGCCTCTCGGATCATCATCTTGGGAGAAATTGTCCAAGGACACGAGTCTGCGTTCTTGAAGGCTGTAAAAACAATCACCATCAGCTGCTACATGACTCTGAGAGGAAGGATCAGCAGGAAACCGACCGTGATGGGAAAGAACGATTGCTCAAGCCAATTCCAGACCCAAACGATCGAAATACGTCCGCGTCACAAGAGCAAACTGGGATAGAAAAGAAGACATACATAGCAACATTAGCTGTGTCTCAATCGTCTAACAAAGCGGGATCATTTCGTACTGTACCTGTGTGGTTGAAAGCGAATGGTCAGAAGATACGAGTTAATGCTGTTCTTGATGATGCCAGCAGTGCGTCGTACATTAGCGAAGAAGTGGCTGGGGTTCTGGGACTGTCTGCTCCATATGAACCTGTTACGGTTAAGGTTCTAAATGAAAATATCGAGACTTTCGACACTATGCCAGTGGACTTGGTTCTTGAGAGTAGCGATGGTAGTGTTCAAGTTTCGTTCCGACCGTTTACGTGTCCGCGTAAGATAACCGGAAGCTACAAGGTGGTAGACTGGAGAGGTTATCAGAACCGTTGGCTTCACCTAGAAGTGTGTAATTTCCCGAAGGCAACAAAAGATCCGTTAGTGGATGTTCTTATTGGGCAGGATCAAGTCGATTTACACTATGCTAGATGTGATGTGAAAGGAAAACCAGGTGAACCGATAGCGAGATTGGGTCCATTTGGATGGTCGTGCATTGGAAACCCAGAAGAGAAATCGTTGGTCTGCGAATCACTTCGAACGAACCTGGTCTACACGTTCTTTGCAAAGTTTCAGCCACTTGAAGAGCTTAATCGGTCGTTAATATAAAGAGATTTTGGGAATTGGAGTCTGTCATGCCCGAAGAGGAGCCTTGCGTGATGTCACAAGAAGAAAAGTGGGCATTGTCTCAGTTGCGTGAATCGTTAGTCAAGGTCGGAGAACGTTACCAAGTGGCAGTTCCATGGAAAGGAAACCGTCCAGTTTTAGCGAACAATTACGAGACAGCACTCAAACGACTTGAGAACACAGAGAAACGGCTATTGAGAACCGAGTCACTCGGGGCAAGTTATAGCGACATCATTCGAAGTTATAAGGAAAAAGCATACATTCGTAAGGTGAACCAAGACGAAGAAATGTCACCTGTTGGTCAGGTTTGGTTCTTACCTCATTTCCCGGTGTGCCGTCCAGACAAAGAAACGACAAAGACCCGTATAGTGTTCGATGCCAGCGCCAAACATCAGGGAGTATCCTTAAACGACATGATCTTACCTGGACCAAAGCTGCAAAGTAATCTGTTTGACGTATTACTTCGATTCCGTCGGTATGCTGTAGCCATGGTATGCGATATCCGTGAAATGTACCTGCAAATCCGGATCCCGACTGAAGATCGTTCGTACTTCAGGTTCTTGTGGAGGGATCTAGGAACTGATAGACGTCCAGAAGTGTACGAGTTCGAGAGAGTGGTTTTTGGAGATACGTCAGCCCCTTTTCGTGCGCAATATGTAACTCCAGAAAATGCTCGACAATACAAAGAAATTTACCCCCTCGCAGCAGAAGTCATTGAGAAATCAACGTACAGGGATGATTCTTTGGACTGGACTCGAACCGATGAAGAAGCAATCGAACTGTACGAGCAGTTAAACAAGTTGTGGAATTTAGCTGGAATGGATCCTCGAAAATGGGTGTCGAATTCCCACCGCGTTCTTGAAAGAATTCCCAGTGAGAAACGGGCAGAAAAGGTCGATTTAGACCAAGGAAATATTCCTACGATCAAAACACTGGGTGTATTATGGTTGGCAGAGGACGATGTGTTTTCGTTCCGAGTAGAAGCGGTACTGGAACCAAAGTTTACGAAGAGAACATTACTAAGCCAAGTGTCGAAAGTATTCGACCCGTTAGGGTTTGTTTCGCCTTTCGTCGTGTCAGCAAAGATTATCTTTCAAGAGTTATGGGTGCAAGGAATTGGATGGGACGATCCAATTGAAAATGATGTATATCGCCAGGCCAAGAGTTGGTTGGACGGTTTAAAAGATCTCGAATCTCTGAGAATTCCCCGATGCATTGAGTTGAACAAGGAGAGATCACCAACAGTGCACACCTTTGCGGATGCGTCGAAAGTCGCATATGGAGCGGTGAGCTATCTAAGAGTCGAGAATCCAAACGGAGAGATTAGGACCCACATGATTGCATCGAAAACCCGGGTGGCACCATTAAAGCCAGTCAGTATTCCACGACTTGAGTTGTTGGCAGCGGTTTTGGGATTGCGGTTGACATTAGCTATCGCACGAGCGTTGAACCTTTCCATTTCTGACGCGCGATTTTGGTGTGATAGTATGAATGTGCTCCTTTGGATACGTGGACGTGGTCGGGAGTTCTTGTCTTTCGTTGCCAACAGAGTCGGTCTAATTCAAAATCACACCAGTCCGGAGCAATGGCAGTACATCGGATCAAGGGACAATCCCGCAGATCTCTGTTCTCGTGGGAGCAGTTCAACACAATTAATCTCAAGTGAACTGTGGTGGCAAGGTCCCCAATTTTTACAGATAAAGGAATCAGAATGGCAGTTGAAGAAAATTTTGCACGAGGGAAATGTTAATCGCAAAGTGTCTACGCTGACGTGCCTCTTACAACCCATGATCTCTTCAAGCAGCCCTTTATGGCGATTGAATCCAGAGAGGTGGTAAAGCTGGCGTAGGCTTGTTCATGTTATGTCATGGGTATTGAGATTTTTGAACAATTGCCGCACCACAGTTAATGACCGAGTATTTGGCCCGTTAAAATTGGAGGAAGTCCAAGACGCACAGCAGCAAAGCTACGAAAAATATACCGTTATCAAAGAAGGAAAGCCGATTTCAGCACGTAGCAAGTTGCTCAAGTTGATGCCCAAGCTTGATGAAGACGGTGTACTTCGATGCGATGGTCGGCTATGCTATGCCGAATTCCTGCCATATGAAGTCCGTTTCCCAATTATATTACCGCGAGGTAGCTGGGTGACTAGATTGATTATTAAGCATTATCATGAGATTGGGCAACATGTCTTGGGTACTAACCATATCTTGGCAAACCTTAGTAACGACTATTGGATTGAGGCAGCTCGGGAAGAGATACGATCATGGGAGAAGGAATGTAGGGAATGTAGAAGACGAAAGGCGAAGGCGGCGAGTCAAGTTATGGCACCACTCCCGTTAAATCGGTCGCAATTACCGTTGAAGGCGTTTTCCAGAGTTTCGTCGATTTTGGTGGCCCTTTCATCACCGTCCAAGGTAGAGGACAATGAAGACAAAAACGATGGTTTTGCCTGTTTACTTGTTTCTTGTCTCGTGCGGTACATTTAGAGATGGCGTACGGCCTTGACACGGACAGCTTTCTTAGATGTTTCACCAGAATGGCGAGCCGAAGGGGTTATCCGTCTCAAATCGTAAGTGATCGTGGGACAAACTTTATAGGAGCTGCTAGGGAATTGAAAGAGTTGGTGGACCAGTTGAATACTTGTAAGATACAAGAAACCACGATTGACAGCGGGGTAAAGTGGACCTTTAACCCACCGTTGGCACCGCATTTTGGCGGAGCCCATGAAATAATGATAAAGGCGGCCAAGAAAGCAATCTACGCAATTTTGAGAGATGCTGATGTAAATGATGAAGAATTGTCAACTATATTCGTTGGTGTCGAAGTGACGTTGAACTCTAGGCCCCTCACATACCAGACAGCTGATCCAAAGGACTCCCTGCCGCTCACCCCGAATCATTTTCTGCATGGACACGCGGGAGGAAAATCTGCTCCTGAAGGCATTGAGAGTCTAGAGTTCAATCCACGAAAACGCTGGAGAAGGGTCCAGGAGCTAATCAATCATTGTTGGAAGCGGTGGATGAAAGAATGGCTACCGTTGATTAACATCCGAACGAAATGGTGGCAACCAAAACGCGATCTAAAAGTAGGAGACTTGGTTCTCGCCATTTCGGCTGACCAGAATCGAGGGCGTTGGCCGTTGGGTCGTGTAAGAGAGGTGCTTCCAGGAAAAGACGGCCATGTCCGTGTGGCAAAAGTGCAGGTTGGACAAGAGACAATTATCAGACCCGTAACAAAGTTAGCACCGGTGGAATTTAGTGAACAGGACACGCCTTTGCTAGATTGTACTGTCAAAGGAGGGGGAGAATGTTCAGAAGAACGTTAGGATTTAAATATTAGGAAAAACAATTTATATTACAATTATTTAAACGAGCATAGGGAACATTTAAGGAAATTAGCTTTGTTCTAGTAGGTTTTTAGTTAGGATTTAAATGCGCATATACGATTAGTAAACACCTTAAAAAACAAAAAAACAACATAAAAATTAGTTAGAACCGTTCGATAGTTGTTTAGCTAAGTGTAAGATGTCAATATTTTTGTTAGTGAAATAAATCGTTGAAATGGAGTGTTGATGCGAACCCTCTTGAACAACTATAATTTTCATTTTGATGATCTTGATCATATATAGCATATTATTCAGATTAAATGATGGTTACTATGGCAACCTTATTATGATGATCTTGATCATATTTAGCATATTATTCCGGATAAATGATGGTCACCATGGTAACCATTATTATAATTTTGATGATAATGATCAAAATTAACATATCAATCATAATAAATGATGGTTACTATAGCAACTATAATTTAATTATGATGATCTTGATCATATTTAGCATATTATTCATGATAAATGATGGTTACCATGGTAACCATCATCATGGTTTTGATGATAATGATCAAAATTAACATTTCAATCATAATAAATGATGGTTACAATAGCAAATATAATTTTCTTTCTGATCTTGATCATATTTAGCATATTATTCATGATAAATGATGGTTACCATGGTACTATTATCATAATTTTGATGATAATTATCAAAATTAACACATCAATCATAATAAATGATGGTTACCATAGCAAATATAATTTTCATTATGATTATCTTGATCATATTTAGCATATTATTCGTGATAAATGATGGTTACCATGGCAACCATAATTTTCATTATGATGATCTTTATCATATTTAGCATATTATTCATGATAAATGATGGTTACCATAGTAACCATTATCATAATTTTGATGATAATGATCAAAATTAACATATCAATCATAATAAATGATAGTTACCATAGCAACTATAATTTTCATTATGATGATCTTGATCATATTTAGCATATTATTCATGATAATGATGGTTACCATGGTAACCATTATCATGGTTTTGATGATAATGATCAAAATTAACATATCAATCATAATAAATGATGGTTACCATAGCAACTATAATTTTCATTATGATGATCTTGATCATTGTAGCATATTATTCATGATAAATGATGGTTACCATGGTAACCATTATCATAAAAATTTGATGATAATGATCAAAATTAACATATCAATCATAATAAATGATAGTTACCATAGCAACTATAATTTT